AAGAAACTCACCTATAGGTCCAGGTGTGGTAGCTCTCACCTATAATCCTAGGACTTTAGGAGGCCAAGGCAGAAGGATCACTTGAGCCCAGGAGTTCGAGACCATTCTGGGCAACATAGTGAGACCCTGTCTCTATTAAAAACAAAAACAAAAACCTATAAAAACCATTCGGGCCTGGAGTTTTTTAAAGGGAGAGGTCTTTTATTAAATTTTTGTTTTTTAGGCAGTAAGAGAAAAAAAATTATTTTCTTTCCATCTCAGATCTGTCTAGTCATTTTCTGTTTTCTGTATTGTTTATTTTTTTGCTCTCGATCAGTCTTGTCAAAAGTTTGTTTATCAATTTTCAAAGACCCAAATTTTGGTTTTATGAATTTTGTCTGTTAGGTTCATTTTTATTTATTAATATTTGCATTTGGCCTTTTTTTTTTCTTTCTTTCTTTCTTTTCTTCCTCCCTCCCTTTCTCCTTTCCTCCCTCCCTCCCTCCCTCCCTTCCTCCCTTCCTTCCTTCATCTTTTTTTGTTTGTTTTTGTTTTTTTGAGTTGGAGTCTCACTCTGTCACCCAGACTGGAGTGCAGTGGCCACTCCCGGCCACCACAGCCTCAGCCTGCTGGTCTCCGGCAATCCTTCCGCCTCAGCCTTCCAAGTAGCTGGAACTACAGGCGCATGCTACCATGCCCGGCTAATTTTTTGATTTATTGTAGAGATGAGGTCTCACCAAGTTGCCCAGGTGGGTCTCGAACCTACGGGCTCAGGCAATCCGCTCACCTCAGCCTCCCAAGTCGCTGGATTACAGATTGAGCCATTGAGCCCGGCTCTTCCTCTTTTTTTTTTTTTTTTTTGAGTCGATGTTTCATTCTGTTTCCCAGACTGAAATGCAGTGGTGCAATCATGGCTCACTACAGACTCAACCTCCAGTGCTCAGGCCCTCAGCCTCCCTAGTAGCTGGGACTGCAGTCAAACACCACCACACCCAGCTAACTTTAAAAAAATTTTTTTAGAGACAAAGTCTCACTATGTTGCCCAGGCTGTTCTTGAACTCCTGGCCTCAAGCACTTCTTCTGCCTTGGCCTTTCAAAGAGCTGGGATTACAGGCCTGGCCTTACTGTGCCTGGTGTCTCTCTCTCTCTCTCTCTCTCTCTCTCTCTCTCTCTCTCTCTCTCTCTCTCTCTCTCTCTTTCTCTCTCTCTCCCTCCCTCCCTCCCTCTCTTTCTCTCTTTCTTTTGAAAGAAGGATGTATTGAGAGGACAGAAAAGCTCCCACAGTAGGAGAGGATCCAAGGGATTGCCCACATGCATAGATTTCTTAATTTTTTGCCTGCCTGCCTGCCTGCCTGCCTTCCTTCCTTCCTTCCTTCCTTCCTTCCTTCCTTCCTTCCTTCCTTCCTTCCTTCCTTCCTATCTACCTCTCCCTCCCTCTGTCCCTCTGTCTCTCTGTCTCTCTCTGTCTTTCTCTCTTGTATTTTTTGACTCACTCTGTAAATTTTTTGAGTTTCCTGAGTTAATGGCTTTCTCAGTTGTGTTCTACAATGGTAGGGCATAGTGAGTCTCTGCTGTTACAGTCAACCACTCCTCATCATTTTTATATTGTGCATTCACTCCAGTCCAGCCATTCAGGACACCTGCTGTTTCCTAAGAACTGTTTTTCTCAGTTATCATCATCTAGCCTAAGGTAAGCAGAATAGTGACCACTTATAGGAGTTGCTGTGTTGACCTCTGTTTTTTTTTTAATCAGCTCCCCCACTTTATCCAGGTCTAGGTTTACCCTGCACTAGGCTATTGTTTACATCTGGTACTGGGCTAGCACTGCTGGCTTGTTGTCCTGTGTTGGCAAGGATGCTCAGGTGAGCAAAGATTGGTCAGGGCAGTGAAAGTCAGAAAGGACACAGTCAGAAGAATAGCTGTGAAATTCTATGAAATACACATATTTGGATATCCACTGACATACAAAAGAAGTCAAAAATAATCTTATTAGCCAGGCTCAGTGGCTCAGCCTGTAATCCCACGCCTTTGGGAGGCTGAGGTGGATTGGCGGAGCCCGCGGGTTCGAGACCTGCCTGGGCAGCGAGACCTCATCTCTACAAAATTCCAACTACTTGGAAGGCTGAGGCAGAAGGATCACCGGAGCCCAGCAGGTCGAGGCTGCGGTGGCCGGGAGCGGCCACTGCACTCCAGTCTGGGCAACCGAGTGGGACTCCAACTCAAAAATAATAATAATACTAATAATCTTATTTCCTTCATACTTATATCTCTTCTCAGCTCTCCTGTGTTCTTTTATGATTTCTTCCACTTTTTTAGTCCCCTAGGCTTGAAAATTTTCATTTTCAACACCTTCTCTACATGAGTTCATAAGTAATCTCAGTAGTTTTTTCACCACTGTGTTTCAGATTTGCCTCTTTTAATTTCCAAAGCCACATTCCTAATTCAAATCATTGCCCTCTCAAAAGCTTGCAGATCTTTCCAACTTTGAACTTCACTGTGCTTTTTACAGTTAATAAATAATAGTAATCACTGTCAATATTAACAAAGCTGATATTTATCAAGTGTCTACTTCTAATACTTTACATCTATATGTATATATCCATATCCTACTGAGTGCAAAGATTGGACTAGGTTCTTGTTTATAGAAAGTTTCAAGGAAGATGCATTTAACATTTATTGAAGAACTACTCTTTGCCAGGTAGTATACTAGATACTTTATTTATTTATTTATTTTGAGTTGGAGTCTCACTCTGTCACCCAGACTGGAGTGCAGTGTCCGCTCCTGGCCACTGCAGCCTCGACCTGCTGGGCTCCAGCAATCCTTCCGCCTCAGCCTTCCGAGTAGCCGGAATTACAGGCGTGTGCTACCACGCCTGGCTAATTTTTTGATTTTATTGTAGAGATGAGGTCTCACCTGCCCAGGCGGGTCTCGAACCCGCGGGCTCAGGCAATCCACTCACCTCAGCCTCCCAAGGCGCGGGATTACAGGCTGAGCCACCGAGCCTGGCTACTAGATACTTTAAATAGTCATTTATTCTGTGAAGTGCATCTCTCAAAGGTAGTTACTATGCCAGTTCTGCAGATTTAAAAACTGAGACTTGCAGCCATAAAAAAGAATGAAATCATGTCCTTTGCAGCAACAAGGATGGAGCTGGAGATCATCATCCTAAGTGAACTGACTCATAAACAGAAAACCAAACACTGCATGTTCTCACTCATATGTGGCAGCTAAACAGTCACAAAGATGGAAATAATAGACACCGGGGACACCAATAAGTGGAGAAAAGGAGGGGAGTCAGGGTTCAGGAACTACCTGTGGGGTACAATATTCATTATCTGCGGAGTGGACCACCTGAGACCTAATCCCCACCACTACACAATATGCCATGTAATGAATATGCATGTGTACTCCTGAATCTAAAATAAAATTAAAAAAAAAACTCTATGGATTTCCCCCACCACCACCAAAAAAGAAAGAGATACCATAGAGTTAATTTTGTCCACCTCTCTCAATGCACAGATGAAAAAAGTAAGACTCACACAGCAAAAATACTTGACCCGAGTTTGAGATTTAGTTAGTGGTAAATTGAGAATTTGAATGCATGCTCTCTGACTCTTGATTAATACACCAGAGAATACAACTGTACTAGCTTCATTTGAGTCTAGTATCCTATCCCTTTTTTTTTTTTTTTTTGAGTTGGAGTCTCACTCTGTCGCCCAGACTGGAGTGCAGTGGCCGCTCCTGGCCACCGAAGCCTCGACCTGCTGGGCTCCGGCGATCCTTCCGCCTCAGCCTTCCAAGTAGCCAGAATTACAAGCGCGCGCTCCCATGCCCGGCTGATTTTTTGATTTATTGTAGAGATGAGGTCTCGCTGCCCAGGCGGGTCTCGAACCCGCGGGCTCAGGCAATCCACTCACCTCAGCCTCCCAAAGGCGTGGGATTACAGGCTGAGCCACTGAGCCTGGCTCCTATCCCTTTTTTAAAAAAAATTACAGGTGATTTTTAATTCCTTTAATGGAACTACACAAAGTGAAATTTTTGCCATAAAAGAACAGCACACAAATGAAAAAACTAAAACAAAACTAAGGTTTACATAAAGAAGAACAAAATCATGTCCTTCATAGCAACATAGATGCACCTGGAGACCATCATACTAGGTGAACTATCACAGAAAGAAAGAACTGAATACCTCGTGTTCTCACTCATAAGAGGGTCCTAATCACTGGTCACATGAGTTCAAGGGTGGGATCAGCAGACACTGGACACTGCTAGGGGAGAGAGGGAGGTAGGAATGATGGGGACCACACAGTAACACACTAGGTACTAGGTACATTATCGGGGAGAGAGGGCCTGCTAGAAGTCCAGACTTCACCTGCTTGAACTTACTTATGTAGTAAACCCTCACATTTATCCCACAACTCTAAAATAAAATTTAAAAAATAAATAAAAACTGAAGTTTAGAAAAAAGTTAAGAGGTTTGACCAAGATGGTGGATTTATAATTCTAGCCAAGATTTATAATTCTAACTTCAAAGTACATATGCTTTCTGCTAATCCATACTGTCTCCAAATAATGTATCTTAACAGTCAGTATTCATTTCGCAGATGTTTAATAAGGATATAGTCTCTGAGGATATAATCTCATACCTTTCAGATGTAAATCCTGCTCTCAGAGAACTTAGTCTAGCAGAGATAAGACATATATAGTACACAAATGCCTTGAGGTGAAAATCACGGTGAAGTACCAAGAGATTTTAGAGGAGAAAAAGTTTATTTTGAACTGAGGAGTTCAGGAGATAGACATACCGAATGTACTGCCCTCTGAGCTTTGGCACATAGGTAGGGTTTGGATGTGGGAACTAAGGTGTTTCTTTGAAGGAGTAAATGGCCCGAACAAACGTATAGAGATAGAAAGCACAGTGTGTATGATTGTGAGCTTCTTGAGGGAGCCCTGGAAAGTATACTTTTAAAAAAACTGTGGTACTTATTTTTAAGAGACATGTAATACAAAAATGTTTTTTCTTCCTTTTTTTAGGCTTACAGTTAAGCATGAGTCTTCTTATGATTAGTGAGAATGTAAAATTGGCTCGTGAATATGCGTTGCTGGGAAACTATGACTCTGCAATGGTCTATTATCAGGGAGTTCTTGACCAAATGAGCAAGTATCTGTACTCTGTCAAAGATACATACCTCCAACAGAAATGGCAACAGGTGAGACTCATGGCTACTTTATGTTTTAATGGCTTAGGTACTCAGAAAATAAGATTTAAGTTGATTGCCAGTGCTGTATGCAGGTATACATAAAGAGTGTATGATTTATTGCATGAATGTACATACAGTGTTACTTGAAATTTATTTTATTATAATAGTCCACTTTACCATCAAAAGTATTACAAGTTATACTCAATTATTCTAATTATTGGAATCTAATAGATTTTTTAAAGTATGGTTTGGTTTTTTTTTTAAGATCAGATTTTTACCTGATAAAAATAGAACTGATTTTATTAAGCTGTTGTTGAAACTGCAAATGCCATGTGCATCTTAACGGTACTATATTCTCTGTAAGACTTTGTAATCAGATCATATTTGAATCCCATTTGAAGAACTTTGGTCATTGAGGACTAAAAGAAATTTACAAGTAAAAACTAGAACTTACAGGTCCAGTTGAAGGTGGCATTCACAGCAAGGTTCAATCAACTATGTCATAAGAGGAAAAAAATGTTAATAAATTAGTAGTCTTTTAGAGCTCATTTTCTAGGTAGAATATTATTCTTCAGATTCTACTGAACTGCTTTTTAAAATACTGTTCCATATTTGTCCTTCATTTTTTTGAGAGAAACATCCTGTCTCTTTGAACATAACCTGTTTCCCTAAATCTGCCCCTCTATATCATTTACTTTCCCAGAAAGGGAAAATGTTTTATTTTATAAGGAGTCTTAAGTTTGTCACTGAAAGACTTTTTAGATCTTTTATTGTTAGGCCAGAGACTTGTACTTAAGAAGTCTACGCTTTTGTATAAAGATATTTAAAATGAAATCATTTAAGTTGCAAAACAAAACATTATCAACTTATATTTCATTTCAATATTACACATATGTTGTTTTTTAACCAATTTTTAAATTTTGGTAAAATACACCTACCTTCAGTTGTATTAAACACATTTATAATGTTGTACAGCCAATCATAATGTATAGTTTTTAAACTGAGACAAGCTCCAATACTATAATACAATTTAGTCAAATCTACCTGTAGTTTTAAAATTGAGTCAAGACTGCTTTTTAAGCAGTATCTTGGTTGTATGTGAATTGAGACACTAATCCTGCTGGGCACGGTGGCTTACGCCTGTAATCCCAACACATTGGAGGCGGAGGTGAGAGGATTGCCTTGGTTCATGGGTTTGAGACCAGCCTGGACAACATGGCAAGACCTCGTCTCTACAGTTAATCAAAAAATTAGCTGGAGTTTGTGGCTCATGCCTGTAGTTCCAGCTCTTTGGAAGGCTGAAGCGGAAGGATCATCTGAGCCCAGCAGGTCAAGACTGTGTTGGCCGTGAGGCGACCACTGCACTCCAGCCTGAGCGACAGAGTAAGACTCTGACTCAAAAAAAAAAAAAAAAAAATTAGCTGGGCTCGGTGGCTCAGCCTGTAATCCCGCGCCTTGGGAGGCTGAGGTGAGTGGATTGTCTGAGCCCGCGGGTTCGAGACCTGCCTGGGCAACTTGGCGAGACCTCATCTCTACAATAAATAAAAAAATTATCTGGGTGTGGTAGCACGCACTTGTAATTCCGGCTACTTGGAAGTCTGAGGCGGAAGGATTGCCGGAGCCCAGCAGGTTGAGGCTGTGGTGGCTGGGCGCGGCCACTGCACTCCAGTCTGGGCGACAGAGTAAGACTCCAACTCAAAAAAAAAAAAAAATTTGTCATTTGAAGCCATATTTTTCAAACTGTGGGTTGTGATCTATTAGTGAGTTATAAAATTAGTGGATTCTGATGAATGTTTTATTCATTTTTTAAAGGTTGTTCATTTACGATATATAATAGTTGTACATATTTGGGGGGTGCGTGTGATATTTTGATACCTGTGTTTAATGTCTAGTGATCAAAGCAGGGTAATTGGAACAATCAACATTTTAAAGTTTAATTAAATAGCATAAAACCCACCAAAGTACGACTTGCAAAAGTATTATTTTTTTTTAAGTTTGAAGTTACAGCTAACTTTTCATTTTATTATACAGTTTATTTATTTATTTATTTTGAGTCGAAGTCTCACTCTGTCACCCAGGCTGGAGGGCAGTGACACGCTCCTGGCCACCTCAGCCTCAACCTGCTGGGCTCCTGCGATCCTTCCGCCTCAGCCTTCCAAATAGCTGGAACTACAGGCGCACGCTACTGTTATACAATTTAAATAGGAACTATAAGCCGAACATGATGACTCATGCCTGTAATCCCAGCACTTTGGGAGGCAGAGGTGAGAGGATTGCCTGAGCCTAAGGGTTCGAGACCAGCCTGGGCAACTTGGTGAGACCTTGTCTCCACAATAAATAAAAAAAATTAGCTGGGTGTGGTGACACATGCCTGTGGTTCCAGCTACTTGGAAGGCTGAGGTGGAAGGATCACCTGAGCCCAGCAGGTCGAGGCTGTGGTGGCCAGGAGCGTGCCACTGCCCTCCAGCCTGGGTGACAGAGTGAGACTCTGACTCCAAAAGAAGTCAATAGTTAGCCAGGATATTTCACTCATTTTTTTATAACTAATTTTGCAACTGCAAACATTAATTAATTAACTGTTATTAAAATGTTGACAGAATATCTTGATGTGGTTTACTGAGTATCTAATATTAAAAAGGTTTCTACCATCTCTAATAAATAGCCCTATTTTAATCTTGGTAGTGATTTATTAATTATAGAATAAAGAGTTATATTCTTCTTTGAAACCAGGTTTGGCAGGAAATAAATGTGGAAGCTAAACATGTTAAGGATATCATGAAAACGCTAGAGAGCTTTAAACTAGACAGCACTCCCTTGAAAGCTGCACAACATGAACTTCCAGCTTCTGAGGGAGAAGTCTGGTCCATGCCTGTACCTGTTGAACGAAGGTAAGTGGAGACCTTTTGAGAAACCAGCTATCCCAAGAAATTTACAGCATTAATTAATTGTATCTAGTAGGAGAACTGGGTGACTGAGAGACAAGAATGGGAAGAAATGTTTTATTGAATATTATTCTCTTATAACTCTTAAATTTTACATCACTGTGTGACCTATTTCAATAAATAAAAGTTATGCTTTTGTGAATGAGTTTGAAATAGTAGAGATAGTGTTTTCTTGTGGAAGGAGAATGGGGCTAGGAATTGAAATATCTGGGTTCTGTTTCTATCTTTGCCACTATCTGCAGCTTTGGGAAAATAACTTTTGTACGCATCAGATTTTTATGTAAAGTGAGGGAGTTAGAATAACAGTGGTTTTCAAACAAGTTATTACAGAATTCTGCTTTTCATCAAGTTATTCTGCTGCTAAAAAAAATTTTTTTAAAGGTCTTTTTAATTCACAGAGAAAAATAAAGATCAAATGTTATGAATTCTTCCCCCAGCTTCCTACTACCAAGTGCCAGCAATTGAACAATTTCTGTAAATAGTCAGTTGTATCATTTTACTATGTATTTTTTAACTAACAAGTATGCAGATGGATGTTAGTTATCTATTTCCTAGTTTGTATTATAGATGTAAATATTGAACATATCATGAATTTCTAGAAAGAACACTTGTGACTTCCAGGTTCATTGTCCCCTAACTAGTTTGAGAACCTTGCATTAGGATGTTGCATAGATGTTTTTCAGCTTTAGCCATCTATCACTGTAACTCATATATATGTGTGTGTGTGTGTGTGTGTGTGTGTATATATAAATTTTTTTTTTTAACAGAGTCTCACTCTGTCACCCAGGGATAGAGTGAGGTGGCACGTTTACAGCTTTCTGTAACCTTGAACTCCTGGGCTCAAGCAATCCTCCCCACCTTAGCCTCCCAAAGTTCTGGGATTACAGGCGTGAGCCGCCATGCCCAGCTATCACAGTAACTCTTAATTCTTGGTTGTGTTTTATAATCATAGATGCTGCATATTGAGCATTCATGGTGTTCTGAACACTATTTTAGGCTATAGGTGTTACTAATTTTTTACAATAAGCCTACCAGATAAGTCATATTTTTCCTGCATTACAAATAAGACAGCTGAGGTGCAGCAGTGCAGTGAGTTTTGGGTAAACTTTTCCTGGTATCACTAAACTAATAACTGGTAGAGTCAGGATTTGAGTCCAGATATATTGTTTTTTATAATAATGATTACAAAGCTGGCACTCTTTGCTGTAATAGTCCTTCTCAAACCAGCATACATAACAATCTCTTGGGGACATTAATTAAAAATGTGAATTTGGGGCAAATTCAAAGAGTCTGATATTGCAGACAGTAGGTGGAACTCAGGAATCTGCAGGTGATTCTGATTCAGGTGGTTCATAGGTCACACTTTGAGAAGACCCATACCAAAATGTTCCTGACGTTTAACATCAGTTAGTGGGTATTGATCTTTTATTAGTCACTTTAATTTTCTTCAGCTCCAGATAAAAGTACTATTAATGTTCTGTTATTGACGCCTGATATCTTTTGTATATTTAGTAAAATTCTTCCTTGCTCTTTAGCTTGTTAATATAAATTATATTTTCTTCTCTGTTTAATAATTCATTTAAAAAGGCACAATAGGTCATTAAAGAAAAATAGAAAAATTTATAGAAATGGGGGAATCACACAGTCATTTTAGTTTATTTCCTTCTAGTCTTCTATGCATTGTTTATTTTCATAGTAGCGATTGTGCCATATTTGCAATTGACAACATTGTAAACTTTTTAAAGAAAAATCTTAATAATAGGTAATAATCATTGTATACTTAATGTGTCCCAGGTACTATGTTAATTCCTTTACATATATTATTTAATTCTCAAAAACAACCTTAGAAGGTAGGTACTAGTTTTGTTTCCCCAGTTTCTGATGAGTAAACTTAGGCTTAGATAGGTTGTTTACTCTTCATATTGTAAACATTGATGATTTATAAGCCATATCAAAGCTTTTTCTCTACAGTTTTTTTTTTTTCTTTCTTTTTTCCAAATCACCTCAGTAGCTTTTTAAGGGTTATTTGCTACTATTCTGAGTGGTGTGTAACCTACATAGTTAACCATGCTCTTATTGGTTGTTTTCCCTTTTTTCACTTTTGAAAAGTTGAAATGAATATTTGTAAGTAAAACATTTTTGTAAAGTTGAAATGAATATTTGTGAGTAAAACTTTTTTCACGTTTGTGATTGTTAATTTCAGAAGTAGAACTAATAATAGATGAGTCAGATTGTATTTTTGTTTTTTATCTTGCTATTTATTCTCTTCTTTTGTCCTTCTGGAGAATAATCACTTGGCCTTTGTGTAATTCTGCTTGGGCTACCATAACAAAATACCATAGACTGAGTGACTTAAAAACAGAAATTTGTTTCTTACCGTTCTAGAGACTGGGAAGTTCAAAATTAAGGTATGGCCAATTTGGTTCCAGGTGAAGGCTCTCTTCTTGAGCAGACAGCTCCTTTCTCCCTATACCCTTACATGGCAGACAGAGCAAGTAAACTCTCTGGTGTCTTTTAAGGACACTAATTCTGTTGGTTCAGGGCCTCACCCGTATGTCCTCATTTAACTTTCTTTTTTTTTTTTTTGAGTTGGAGTTTCACTCTGTTGCCCAGACTGTGCTCAATCTGTCCGTCTCGACCTTCCAAGAAGCTGGAACCACAGGAGCATGCCACCATGCCCAGCTAATTTTTTGATTTATTGTAGAGACGAGGTCTCACTATGTTGCCCTGGCTGGTCTTGAACCCTGGGCTCAGGCAATCCTCTCACCTCATCCTCCCAAAGTGCTCATAGGTGTGAGCCACCATGCCCAGCTCATTTAACTTTAATTACTTCCTTACTCCAAATAGTCATTTATAGTCCAAATAGGGTTAGAGTTTGAACACATGAAATTTGGGAAGAACACATACGCATTCAGTCTGTAATAGCCTTATGACTCCTCTCTCAGTTATTGGGAAGATCTTTTCAATGACTAGATATACCCAGTAAAATATCACTTGATTCTGAATTCAGTGAAGTATTTGGTCACCTCAGCCTGACAAACAGAAGGATTCTCTCTTAGGGACAGTGGGACATTAAGCCCTAAATAGTGTTCCTTCTTACTTTCTTCAGTGTCCCTGATTTTGAATGCCCTGGATTACTATTAATTTCTCCTCTTTGATTTTATTTGTTTCTTTCTATAATTTATTTTATTTTTTTCCCTTAATTGGGTATTTTTCAAGACTCTTATTTTTTTCTGTTGGTTTTCATTTGCACTCATGACTAAGAGAGTCATTCTTTCTTCAACTGTGTTGATGATTCTAACCTTGCATCACCTAAATTTTAGTCTCATTTAAAGAACAGATTCAATGCCGGGCTCGGTGGCTCAGCCTGGTGAGCCGCGCCTTTGGGAAGCTAATGTGAGTGGATCGCCTGAGCCCGCAGGTTCGAAACCTGCCTGGGCAGCGAGACCTCATCTCTACAATAAATCAAAAAATCAGCCGGGCGTGGTAGCGCATGCCTGTAATTCCGGCTACTTGGAAGGCTGAGGTGGAAGGATCGCCGGAGCCCAGCAGATCGAGGCTGCGGTGGCTGGGAGCGGCCACTGCACTCCGGTCTGGGTGACAGAGTGAGACTCCAACTCAAAAAAAAAAAAAAAGAATAGGTTCAACTGATTTAGTATTCTCATCCAGTGCTGTGTACAAAAAAATGCAAGTACAAGTAGATTCATTAAAGCCTTATAGAAAATATTAGAAATAGCTTAAATACTGCTAGATATGATTCTGTTAAATCTCTTTTAAAAGTCAACTGATGTCTCTCAAATATCTTCTCAGCATGCAGAATAAAACTCAGAGTTTTCATGTCTTTCAAGACTATGAGATTTGGTTCCTCATAACCTCTATAACCTAAGTGCTTACAACTCTCTCCCTCAGTCACTGTCTTATGGCCTACGTAAACAAGCCAAGCACGTGAATGCTTCAGTCCTTTCACCTGCCTTTCCATCAGCTCTGATGTTTGGCTTGTTCCCTCATTTTGTTCAGAACTTGACTTAATTGTCACCCCTGAAAGGCCGTCTCTGCCTACCCTACCTAAAATACCGTCCCATCACCCTATAGCCCCTTACCCTGCTTTCTTTTTTTTTTCCTTTTATTTTTTTTTTTTTTCGAGTTGGAGTTCACTGTCTCCCAGGCTGGAGTGCAGTGGCACACTTACAGCCACCACAGCCTCGACCTGCTGGGATCAGGTGATCCTTCCGTCTTAGCCCTCCAAGTAGCAGGAACTACAGGCATGTGCCACCATGCCCAGCTAATTTTTTTTTTATGAGGTTTCACCAGGTTGCCCAGGCTTGTCTTGAACCTGTGGGCTCAGACAATCCTCTCACCTTGGCCTCCCAAAGTATTGGGATTATAGGAGTTAGCCACCATGCCAGGCTTTGTTTTTCTTGATAGCACTTAACATCATTTGATATACTATTTATTTCTTCATTGATGCTCCCCAATGCACATACTTGTATGTAAGTTTATGAGAATAAGGGGTTTCATTAAAATTATTTTTAATTTTATGTCTCTAATGCATAGAGTAGTGCTTGTCAATAGGAGGAGTTCAGTACATGATTTTTGAATGAATGACTGGCTAGCAGTAAGACATAGACATGTGATTTTAAGTGACTTGCTATTCATTCATTTATGAGATGATATAGGAAATATCACAAGATATGATAAGGAAGAAATATGATAAAAATATAATAGTGTATGTGTGTATAATGGCTCCAGTTTTTTTAAATGAAAGGTAACTATGGGAAATAGACTAATATATTAATTGGTTAATTTTGGATATAGTTACAGATAACTTTTTTATTCTTTATATAGTTGTTCCTCGTTATCTGTGGGGGGTTGTTACAAGACCCTCACAGATACTAAAATCCATGGATGCTCAAATCTCTTATATAAAATGATGGAGTAGTTGCATATAACCTATGTACACCCTCCTGTATACTTTAAATCATCTTTAGATTACCTATAATACCTAATACAATGTAAATGCTATATAAATGCTTTGTGTGTGTGTGTGTGTGTGTGTGTGTGTGTGTGTGTGTGTGTGTTGGAGTCTCACTCTGTCGCCCAGACTGGAGTCCAGTGGCCACTTCCAGCCCCGCAGCCTCTCCTGCTGGGCTCCAGCGATCCTTCCGCTTCAGCCTTCCAAGTAGCCAGAATTACAGGCATGCGCTACCACGCCCGGCTGATTTTTTTGATTTATTGTAGAGATGAGATCTCGCTGCCCAGGTGGGTCTCAAATCCTCGGGCTCAGGCAATTCGCTCACCTCAGCCTCCCAAAGGTGCGGGATTGCATGCTGAGCCACTAAGCCCGGCTTCAACCATCCTTTTTTAAGAAATATTTTCGGGATGGGTACAGTGACTTATGCCTGTAATCCCAGCACTTTGAGATGCCTGGGCAGAAGGATTGCTTGAGCTCAGGAGTTCAAGACCAGCCTGGACAACATAGTGAGACCCCATCTCTATACAAAATTAGCTAGACATGGTGGCACATACTAGCTACTCGTGAGGCTGAGCCACTGTGCTCCAGCCTGGGTGACACAGTGAGACAAAAAATTATTTTTGATTGGCAATTGGTTGAATCCATGTATGTGAAATCCACAGATACAGGGACTGACTATACTTTATTACATTTTACCATGTCTATTTTGTATTTTTCTAATGAGGGGGAAAATAAATATATATTTTATAGGAATATTTACACTTGGCAATCAAGGTTTCTAAATCCAAAATTGAACTCCTGTCATTGCTTCACGTACATGTTGGTTTGGCTTTATCATCCTCCCCAATTCTGAATCTCAACTTTCTGTATCTAGAAGTCTTCTTTGATAGCGTGTCCCTAGGACTCTTCTCACTGTTACTGCCTTAAGCTAGGCCCTCATCTCATGTGTCGGTAGCATTTGTAACCTATAAACATCTCCCTGCTTTCTGTGTTTTATCAGTATAGCTTTTTCAGTAGTAGACTGATCTTTCTAAAATGTTTTCAGTGAATTCTTGCTGGCAGTTAGCTAAAAGCCAAGCCTCTTAAACTGTTATTTAAATCTACTTGCCAAACCACCTTTTCTGTTCAATATCACCTCTTAGTGTTCACCATTATCTCTTAGACCAGTGTCTTTATAATTCTTTATATACAAAAAAGCTCATTTTAATTTCTTTGCTTTTCTTTATTGATTTTCTTGTCTATACAAGAAAATCAACTATAGACAAAATTTATTTAGTTTGACTGCTGTTTTTCTAGTTTGAGTTTATTTTCTGTCTTCAAGAGACCATTCCCCTTGCCATAGCAGTAGATCTGTTTCACACCTTTTCGTATACTCATCTGGTTTTACATACCTTCTTACTATTTAACTCTACTGTGATTTACTTGAGAATAGGACTCTGTCTCTCTCTCTTTTTACTTTATTCCTTTTAAATTGCCCCAACCAAATATAGGAGCACAGTAGGAGCCTAATATTTGAGGGTCTGAATTCTGGCACAGAAATCATGATGAAATGAGGTGATGTCTACAAACATAAAGCACCATACATGAGTTCTTGTAACTATTCATAACTAGTGCTTATGTCAGTTATTTTAAATGGAAAAATGATTAAATTTTATTAATTAAAACACAAGAATTATGATACAGGTTGAGCATCCCTAATTTGAATATCTGAAATCCAAAATGCTTCCAAAGCTGAAACTTTTTTAGTACCAACATGATGCGCAAAGATTATGCTCAAAGGAAATTCGATCACTGGAGCATTTCGGATTCTGGATTTTCACATTAGGGATTCTCAGCCAGTATGTGTACACGGATATTCCAAAAATCAAAAATACTTCTAGTTACCACCATTTTGCATGAGGGTTACCCAACCTGTATATTCTAAATAAAATGATACCAAATAGCACTGTTGCCTACTTGCTCCTTCAACTCTCCATTTGTCCCCCCTCTGCTGGACAGCTTCTCTGCTCTATCATTCCCTTCCATGTCCCCTGAGCCCACCTGGCTTTCCAGCTACACCTCCCTTATGGATTCCATTTGTTTCTCAATTATGTGTTTGTTTTTTTTTTGAGTTGGAGTCTCACTCTGTCGCCCAGACTGGAGTGCAGTGGCCACTCCCGGCCACCGCAGCCTCGATCTGCTGGGCTCCGGCGATCCTTCCGCCTCAGCCTTCCGAGTAGCCGGAATTACAGGCATGCGCTACCATGCCCGGCTGATTTTTTGATTTATTGTAGAGATGAGGTCTCACTGCCCAGGCGGGTCTCGAACCCGCGGGCTCAGGCAATTCACTCACCTCGGCCTCCCAAAGGCACAGGATTGCAGGCTGAGCCACCAAGCCTGGCAGTTTTAATTTTTCTTTTCTTTTTCTTTTTAAATGAGAAAGCAGGATTTATTAACAGGACAGAAAAGCTCCCACAGTGGGACAGCCTGAAGGATTTGTCCCATTCAGACTAGTTTTCATTTATCTTTGATACATAACAATTTCCTAAGTAGATGTGACCATTACTTCCCTTTATTATTTCTTCTTCCTTCTCCTTCTTTTTCATCATGATCAACAAGCCGGTAAATCCTTACTTTATTTCTATAACATGACTATTCTGCATTCCTCTCACTAAATCACCAGTGATAACTATGTTAAATTTAGATTTTAGATCTTAGGTTGCATCATCCTGAAATTTATTCAGTCCTGTCTTGTGTTCATTTGTTGCTTTGGCTTTTTAGTTCATAGATTCTAACTTACACACTTTGTGTTCATCCATATTTGGAGTTGATTATGATTTTAATGATTTTTTTTGTTTGGTCAGACCCTCACCAGGACCTAGAAAACGCCAGTCTTCTCAGTACAGTGACTCTAAACCACATGGTAACCGTCCAAGTACAACTGTCAGAGTTCACCGTTCATCTGCACAAAATCTTCACAATGACAGAGGGAAAGCTGTTCGTTGTCGTGAAAAGAAAGAACAGAATAAAGGAAGAGAGGAAAAGGTAAATGTTATTGATATTCATAAATAAAAGTTATTATTGACCTTAAAAATAAAAAGAGTGTTCAAATTTCAGTAAGTTCTAATCATCAGTTTGCCAGGGCTGTCATAAAACCTTAGTTGTACTATACTTCAGGTGTGATTTTCCCCACTCACCATTCAACAAATATTTTGACTTTTTCTTTAGCTATCTTTATATTTTGAAATAATTTCAAACTAGCATAATTGTAGGAATGGTGAGGAACTTCCATGTATTTTTAACATAATTTTTACCAATTGTTAATATTTTGCCCCCTTTGCTTCATCATTTTCTCTGTGTACCTTCTTTTCCGAACCGTTTGAGACTAAGTTGTAGATAAAATGCCCCTTTACTTTTTAATACTTCAGAGTGTATTTCCTAAGTACTAGGACATTCTCGCACATAAAGAAATACAGTTATCAAAAGCTATAAATTTTACATTGATACAGTACTGTTATCTAATCCACAGACCTTCATAAAATTTTGCCAGTTATCCCTATAAGTCATTTAGAACCTTTCTTTTCCTTCTACTCCAGGTCAGAATATAATATAGAATCACACATTGCATTTAGTCTTTTTAAAAATATGAACGTTTTGCTTTTGCCTTTTTGGCCTGGCATTTTCGAAGAGTACAGGCCAGTAATTTTGTAGAATTTTCCTCAATTATGGTCTGTCTGATATCTCCTCATGATTGGATTAAAGCTATACATTTTTGTTAGTGATACCACTGGTAGGATGTTTTGTTCTCAGTGTATCATGTAAGAAGGCACAGGATGTCTTGTTTGTACTATTACTATGGTGATAAATTGGATCACTTGGTTAAGGTGGTATCTGCCTAGCCTTTTCACTATAAAGTTACTGTTTTACCCTTTTTAAAAATTTGTGGGGAGATACTTTAAGACTATAAAAAATCCTATTTCTCACCAATCTTTCATCTAGTAGTTTTAGCATCCAGTAATTTTTGACTGAATAAATTATTTCAACACTAATTGCAAAATCATGATTTTCTAATGCCATTATTGCTTCTATATTAATTATAAAAGCTGAGTATAGACCTTTTTTTTCTATTTTGCATTTATTATTTTTAGTTGACATATAATAATAATAATACATATTTGTGGAATACAGTATGATCAATTCAGTACACATATACAGTGTGTAATGATCAAATCAGAGTAGTTAGCATGTCTGTTATCTCAAACATTTTTCATTTATTTTTGTTGGGAACATTCAAAATTTGTTCTTCCAGCTATTTGAAAATATAAGTAGTTAGTGACCCTATAGCACCATAGAGCACTAGAGTTTATTCCAGCTATCTAGCTGTACTATAGCCCACCTTCCTTCTACCTGTCCTAGACTCTTGTAACCATTATTGTACACTCTACGTATATGAGATCAACGTTTTTGGCTTCCACATATAGGTAAGGACGTGTTATTTATCTTTTATGTGCCTGGTTTAGTTCACTTAACATAATGTCCTCCAAGATCATCCATGTTGCCATGAAGGCAGAATTTCATTCTTTTTTGTGGCATTTAATTATTCCATTGTGTATATGTACCACAATTTCTTTATTCATTTATCTGTTGATGGACACTTAGGTTGATTCCATATCTTGGTTATTGTGAATAGTGCTGTAGTAAACATGGTAGTACAAATATCTCTTTGACATACTGGTTTCCTTTCCTTTGGCTACACTCAGTTAGTGGGATTGCTGGATCATATAGTAGTTCTATTTTTAATTTTTTAGAGAAACCTTTATACTGTTTTTCATAATGTCTATATTAATTTACAATCCCAGCATCAGTGTATCAAAGTTACCCTTTCTCTGAATCCTTAGCACCATTTGTTGTTATTTATCTTTTTTTATGGTAGCCATTCTAATTGAGGTACAGCGATACTGCATTGTGGGTTGGGTTTGAATTTCCCTGATGATTAGTAATGTTGAACATTTTTCATATGCTTGTTGGACATTTATATGTCTTCTTTTGAAGGATAGCTATTCAACTCATTTGTCCACTTGGGGGTCTTTGCTTTTGTGTGTGTGGTTTTTTTTTTTGCTGTTGAGTTGAGTTCCTTGTATATTCTGGATACTAATCCCTTGTTGAGTAGTTTGCAAATATTTTCTCCCATTCTACAGGTTGCCCCTTCATTCTTTTGATTGTTTCCTGCTGTGTAGAAGCATTTCTGTTTCATACAATCCCATTTGTATGTTTTTGTTTTAGTTGTCTGTGTTTTTGAGGTCTTCTTCATAAAATCTTTGTCCAGACTAGTGTCTTGAAACATTTGCCCTGTATTTCTTCTAGTAGTTTTGTAGTTTTAGATCTTACACTTACATCTTTGAGTTGATTTTTATATATGGTGGGAGATAGGGGATTAGTTTTATTTTTCTGCATATGGATATCTAGTTTTCCCAGCACCAATTATTGAAGTGATTGTCCTTGCCCCAATGCATGTTCTTGGCACCTTGGTCAAAAATCAATTGGCTGTAAACATGCAGATTTATTTTTGGATTTCCTGTTCTCTTCCATTGGTCTGTGTGTTTTTATGCCAATGCCATGCTGTTTTAGCTACTATACCTTTGCAGTACATGATAAAGTCAAGTAGTGTGATGCTTCCAGCTTTGTTCTTTTTGCTAAGGATTGCTTTGCTTGGAATATTTTTTGATTTCATATGGATTTTAGGATTATTTTTTCTGTTTCTAAAAAGAATATTGTTGGTATTTTGATAAGGATTGCATTGAATTTGTATATTGTTTTTGGTAGTATGGTCATTGTCACAATATTAATTCTTTCAGTCTGTAAACATGAGATGGCTTTCTACTTTTTTGTGTCCTATTCAGTTTTTTTCAAGTGTTTTATGGGGTTTTTTTGCAGAGATTTTTACCTCTTTTGTTAAATTTATTTCTAAGTGCTTTTTGTTTGTTTTTGTTTTTTTTTTTGAGGAGGTAGCTATTATAAATGGGATTGCTTTCTTGATTTCTTTTCTGCTGGCTCATTGATGGTATATAACAACACTCCTGGCTTTTGAATGTTGATTTGGTGTCCTGCAACTTTATTGAATTTATCAGTTCTAAGAATTTTGTGATAGAAATTTTAGGGTTTTCTATATATAAAATCATGTTGCTGGCTGGGTTCAGTGGCTCATGCCTGTAATCTCAGCACTTTGGGAGGCAAGGTGATAGGATTGCTTGAACCTAGGAACTTGAGACCAGCCTGGACAACATAGTGAGACCTCGTCTCTACAAAATAAAATTTTAACCAGGTGTGGTTGTACATGCCTGTAGTCCCAGCTACTTGGGAGGCTGAGCCAGAAGGATTGCCTGAGCCCTTGTGATTGAGACTGCAGTGAGCCATGATTGTGCTATTTCACTCCAGCCAGGGCAACAGAGCGAGACCTTAACTCAAAAAGAAAAAAAGAAAAAGAAAAAAAAGATCATATTGTTTGCAAACAGGGACAGTTTGACTTCTCCCTTTCCAATTTAGATGCCCTTTCTTTCTTTTCTTGCCTAATTGCTCTGGCTAGCATTTGTATTACTAGTACTATGTTGAATAAACATGGTGAAAGTGAGCATCTTTGTCTTATTTTAGTTCTTAGAGAAAAAGCTTTCTTTGCCCTGTCCAGTATGATGTTAACTGTGGGATTGTTGTATATGACTTTTACTGTTTTGAAGTATAATGCTTCCATATCCAATTTTTTTAGAGTTTTTATCTTACAAGGACATTGAATTTTTCTACATCTATTCAGATGATTATATATATGGCTTTTGTTCTTTATTCTGTCGATGTAATATATCATGTTTATTGATTTGCATATGCTGAACCATCCTTGCATGCCTGAAATAAATCTTATGTGTTCATGGTGAATTATTTTTTTGATGTGCTTCATGATTTGGTTTGTTAGCTTTTTTTTTTTAGAATTTTTACATCTTTGTTCATCAGGGATATTAGCCTGTAGTTTTCTTTTTTGTGTGTCTTTGTCTGGTTTTGGTATCAGAGTAATGCTAGCCTTATATGGGAGAATTCCCTCTACCTCAGTTATCTAGAATGGCTTGAGAAGGAAATTTTTAATTTTGATGGAGTCCAGTTATTCCTCTTCTGACTCATGACTTTTGGTGTCTTTTAACTCTTTGCCTAGCCCTAGATCCTGAAACATTTCTACTTTTTATCTAAAAGTTTTATACTTTTACATTTAAGTTCATGATTCATTTTGTATAAAGTGTGAGAATTAGGGTGGGGTTCTTTTTTGATTATGCATATCTGATTACTCCAAAACCATTTGTTGAAAAGGCTGTTTCAGCCGGACTCGGTGGCTCAGCCTGTAATCCTGTGCCTTTGGGAGGCTGAGATGAGTGGATTGCCTGAGCCTTCGGGTTCGAGACTCGCCTGGGCAGCGAGACCTTATCTCTACAATAAATCAAAAAATTAACCGGGCATGGTAGCGCACGCCTGTGGTTTCAGCTACTTGGAAGGCTGAGGCAGAAGGATTGCTGGAGCCCAGCAAGTCGAGGCTGCAGTGGCCAGGAGCGGCTACTGCACTCCAGTCTGGGTGACAGAGTGAGACTCCAACTCAAAAAACAAAAACACAAAAAAGAAAAGGCTGTTTCTTTCCCCGAAGACTGGAACAAGACAAGGCTACCTACTCTCACCCCTCTTATTCAACATTGTGTTAGAAGTCCTAGCTTGAGCAGTTAGACAAGAGAAGGAAATCAGAGGAATCCAAATAGGAAAAGAGGAAGTTAAGTTATCCCTCTTTGTCAACGATAGGATCCTATACCTCGAAAATTCAAGAGAATCTGTCAAAAACCTGCTTGCACTGATAAAGGACTTTAACAAAGTCTTGGGGTACAAAATAAATGTACAAGAGACAGTTGCATTCTTATACACCAACAGCAAGCAGGTGGAGAATCAAATAAAAAACACAATCCCATTTACAATAGTCACAAGAAAAATGAAATACCTCAGCACCTTCTTAACCAGAGAAGTGA